ATTGTATCCATCTGACTTTGACATTCCTGCTTTAGGGATCAAGTCTATTCAAAGCATCTTTCAGAGAGTTTTAAATCTTCAGATAGAAAACATTTAAAGAGACCAAGGAGATGGTTTATCTTCAACAGGTGAATTTCTTTAAGGAGAGTGTGTGATAACTTTAGTTTTCAGAAGAAAGGGGTTCATGAGTTTATCCCAAAGTATTTTTTTTTTAATTTAAAAATCTTTAAGTAAATAGCTCACCTTGAAGTTCTTTTAAAAACTTAGGACACATTTAGGATAGGAGAAAAAGAAATGAAAAACAGATCACCAGAAATGAAACGTAAAGTTTAATTGTTGTATTTAAAATAAACCATTCAAGTATGTAATCTGGAAATGTGTATATACACAGAATATTTAGAAGGCATGAGAAGACCAGCAGACCTTGAAGAGCAGGTGCAGGAGGATGTAACCCAAGAAACACATGTTTCTTCTTCTGCTGCGTCTCCTCAGAAGACCAAAAGTGAGTAGCTGATTAGAAAGCCCTCGAAACCATAAACCATTTATGTGCAAATTTGTCCTGTGCGTACACAAAGGCGAACAGTTGTAAACATTTCAAGTATCATCAGTTATATCCTATGCTCTTTATTTTATCCATTTATTCAAATCAATATTCCTAGAGCTTCTGTAAGTTGTTTTAAGGCACCATTGGTGGCCCTGAGATACAGTAGTGAGCAAAGCAGGTTAACAATCTGTTTATACAGTGTGTATTTCATACATAGTTTTTTCTTAAATGTGTTTTTTTTTCCAGCTTTATTGAAGAACCCTTGACAAATACAGATTGTATCTATTTACAGTGCAAAGGACGATGCTTCAAAACTTGTGTACATTATGAAATTATTGCCACGGTGCAGTTAATTAAAATGTCTATCACCTGAGATAGTTCTAATTTTGTTTTCCTTTGGCGAGGAGAACATGTCAGACAAATTCTTTGAGCAGATTTCCAGTACACCACTCCATATGATTAACAGTATTACCAGGCTGTTGGTTAGCCCTCCAGAATTTACTGTATCTGAACCTTTGCACCCTTTGATTCGCATCTCCCCATTTTCTTCACCCCAGCCCTCGGCAACCACCCTTCTGGTCTCTGCTGTCTTTAGTTTGACTTTTTTAGATTCAACATATAAGTGAGATCACGGAGCATGGGTCTTTCTGTGTCTGGCTCATGCCACTCAGCACAATGACCTTTAGGTTCATCCCTGTTGTTACAAATGGCAGGGTGGTCGTCCTTCTGGAAGGCTTTATGTGTGTGTCCTCTCTATTCATTCATACACCAGTGGACACTTAAGATTGTCCCAAATCTTGGCTATTCTGAGTAATGCTGCAATGAAGACGAGAACATGAGAATGTAGATATTACTTCAAGATACTGATTTTATTTCTTTTGAATAAATACCCAAAGATGGGATTGCTGAATCCATGGTTTTTTGAGGAACCTCCATACTGTTTTCCTGAGCAGCTGTGCCATTTTACATTCCCCCCAGCAGTGTATAGCGCCCCCTGTTGTACACACCCTCACCAACACGGGTTATCTTTTGTTTTTCTGATCATAGCCATTCTGATAGGTCTGAGGTGGTATCTCCTTGTGGTTTTATGTTTCCTTGATGATTAGTGATGGTGAGCACCTTTTTATTTATTTTTGGCCATTTGGGTTTTGGAAGAGGGAGGAGAAATGTCTATTCAGGTTTTCAGCTCATTTTTAAATTGGATTATTTGCCTTTTTTTTTTTTTTTGCTACTGAGTTGTGTGAGTCCCTTATATGTTTTGGATATTAACTTTTTCTATGAGATCTTGGGTTTGCAAAGCCTTCCTTCCATTACATAAGCTGCCTTTCACCCTGTTGATTGTTTTCTGTGCAAAAGCTTTTAGTGTAACATGCTTTCACTTGTTCATCTCTGCTTTTATGACCTGTGCTTTGGGGTTGATACCCAAAAAGTCATTGTCCTGAATGTCGAGACGTTTTTCCTTTACGTTTTCTTCTAGGACTTTTGCTGTTTCAGGTCTCATGTTTAAGTGTTTTATTTATTTTGGGTTGATTTTTATGTATGGTTTGAGATAAGGGTCCTATTTCATTCTTGTGCATCGTGTGTTCGTAGCGCGCTTGTCAAAGAGTTACAGTCACCAGACCGTATAGTGCTGCTGTCAACACAGATGTACAGACCCATGGAATGGAATAGAGAGTCCAGAAATAAATCCGTGCATCTATAGTCCACTCATCTTAAATGTTTTAAATTTAGAAAAAAAATTAAGGTCTGGATGGTAACTGCTGGGAAGCCTTGTTGAGAATGAATTATAGATATAAAGTAACTTTCTGAGACTATTAGAAACTTGCATGTTTGCATGTAACCCACAAAATACTCATGTCTGGTAGGTAATGCATATTATTTACCTGTTTCTTCTGGGTTTTCCCTTTATATAATATATCATAATTATAATTTATTAATCAACTATATAACCATTTGTTTAAATGAGTTCTACTATTTCTGTTTATTTAATCTAGGACATAAGCTCTCAGAACCATTTCAAATTCATTTATAGATTGTTGAATGAATTTCGTCAGTGAAAGAAAATGCCAGGAAAAGATTATTAACCATTAAATCCTATAGCAAATGGAGCTTTAGGAAATGTAATTCCAGATGCTTTTGTGGACTTACATGGTAAACTTTCAACACTAATTTTTATTTTGAAAAAGGATAAAGATAGGCAAAATTGTAATCTCTATTGTTCGTTCACATCATTGTGCTAATTATAGTTTAGGACCTTGTTTTCAGCGTAATAGTTTCTGAGTACTTAATCTTGTTTGTCATATTTCAAGATCTATCACCATAGCTGTCATATTTTTAGTGCTTAACATTAAGGTTTAGCCATAGCCTTTCTTGAAACTTCTGAAAAAAACTCTTCTCGCCTTGTAGGTGAAACTGTGACTGGAGAACTGTCAAAACTCTTGGATGAAATAAAACTCTGTCAAGAAAAGGATTATTCTTTTGAAGACTTGTGCCACACCATTTCAGACCACTACTTAGATAACTTGAGCAAGATTTCAGAGGAAGAACTTGGGAAAAATGGAAGCCAGAGTGTAGTAAGTAGGGGGGGAATGGAGACGATGTGTCTGTCTGTGCCAGGGCAGTACTCATACCTGAGAGGCATGGGACGTCATGCATTACTAGGCTATCAGATTCTGCTACTGTCAGATTTCCACCTCCCCAGTGCTCTTTCCCTGATGTTCACTGGGATTTTATTCTCATTACGTGTGTAGGGGAAGGGATGCTTTGGTGAGTCACTCTTAGCTCAGGGTAGTCTCCTCTTTCCTGCTAGGCTCTTTCCTAACACGTTCATCGGTTCTCAGGATGTTCCTTTAGTTTTAATGGGCATAAGGTTATCCGTTGCCAAAAAAAGAAGAAAACTTTCCTTTTATCTGTCTTCTTCTCCATTTTCTTTATGAAGTCAGTCTAATCCCGTCTTTAAGAAGAGAGAGCTGAGCCACATGGATAGTTAGTTCCTCAGTCAGAGCAGGACAGATGTTGTGCAGTGTTTGACCTGCACGGTTTGAGAATATTATGCAGATTTCAAGAGGGTTCTTCTCTATAAGCTGAGAATGAATTAGAGATTCTTGCCTATTCGAATTTTTATTTTAACACAATAACAACTATGGAGAATCCACCAGTTTAAAATTCAGACTTGTAAGCCTACTTAATGCCTTATAGAGGAAAGATCTATAGTATGTGCTGGGATTAAAGGAAATACATTATTATGATACAAAACCTTTACTTGCTTTAGAACTTAATTTGTTATAGAAATATATTTTATTAAAAAGCCAATAACAGAGTGAACTGTGTTAAGTATGTCATACTATTTATGAAAACTAAAAACAAATTGCTGAGTGACCATCCATTATAGGAACAGTTATTTAATTTATGTACTTAACGTGAACTATGATACTGTTTCCCAGGATAGCACTTGCTAATCTCATTCTGTGGCTAGTCTTACCTCCTAGGCCTGCTTTATTGTTTTATTTTTATTTATTTATTTATTTTGTTGTTGTATTCTCTTTTGTAAAATATGACCTTACTGGCTCCCCTAATTTCTTTATGAATAGTTATGAATAATTCTGTATGTACTGGTGTAAATACCTGTAGATTTCACAAGATGAACTTGATCTATGAAAGAAATATTTATATAATATCAGGACACAATTCTCTGTTTAAAAGCCTAAAATGGATATTTGCTGTCTCCAGATTATACGTCAGTTACATTTTAACATTTCCTTCAAAGTTAGAACTTAAAATGTATTTGTTCTACATAAACAATATGTGGTATTTAGGTTTGTAGATCCATCCCTGAAGATTTTTCTAAACTGGCAACTTCTAGACCTCTACTTCTCAGACCACAGAACTTGGGGAAGCTCTGATTTTCTAGATCAGTGGTTTCTAAACTCCATCATCCCTAATTTGTCTATTTATAAATTACATATGTATATACTATTATTATAATATTTGATGTAAATTATGAGACATATTCTAAGTAAGAAATTCAATATGAGAAAGGTAAAGAATATATGTAAAATAGAAGTTCTGGTTTTTTTTTTCTTTTTTTGAGACAGAGTTTCATTATGTTGCCCTCAATAGAGTACTGTGGCATCACAGCTCACAGCAACCTCAAACTCTTGGACTCAAGTGATGCTCTTGCCTCAGCCTCCCACGTAGCTGGGACTACAGGCACCCGCCACAACACCTGGCTATTTTTTTGCTGTAGTTGTCATTGTTGTTTAGCTGTCCTGGGCCGGGTTCAAACCCGCCAGCCTTGGTGTTTGTGGCTGGCATCATAACCATTGTACTAGTGGTGCCGAGCCATAGTTTTTTTTTTCTTTTTTTTTTTTGAGACAGAGCCTCAAGCTGTCCCCCTGGGTAGAGTGCCGTGGCATTACAGCTCACAGCAACCTCCAACTCCTGGGCTCAAGCGAGTCTCCTGCCTCCGCCTCCCAAGTAGCTGGGACCACAGGTGCCCGCCACAACGCCCGGCTATTTTTTGGTTGCAGACGTCATTGTTGTTTGGCGGGTCCGGGCTGGGGATTCAAACCCACCACCTTAGGTGTACGTGGCTGGTGCCTTAGCCAGTTGAGCTATAGGCGCCGAGCCAGTTTTTTTTTTTTTTCTTTTATTCAGTGCATATCTTGTATGCCCTGGGGTCTGCAAACGTAGCTTGGAGACCATGATTCAAGCTTATGTTTTTCAGGATGTTATGGCAAGAGCTTTTGACATTGAGAAGGAAAAGATGGTCAGATTTTTTTTTTTTTTTTTGTAAGCCAAAGACTGTATTTATGATAGTGGTGAGTGAGATTAATGCCCCCAAATAGAACTTAAGTTCTTGGAATTTGAGCTCACACTTTTCCTACACTACTCTTTGTTCTCTGACACATCTTCAAAATAGTGTTCTTTGAACCTGTTGTCATATAAAATGTTGAAGGTTGTATGAAGCATAAAAGCAGATGGTGTATAAGAGAAAGTAGTTCTATTTCTTTGAAATAACAGTTCACAGAGGGAGAAGGTGGACGATAAGATTAGAAGGCCGGGTTGAGGTCAGTCTGTGGATGATTTAGAATGTCAGGCTAAGAATTTAGCATTTATTTATTTTCTTGAGGAAATGAGAAACATATAAAGGATTTTCAGCAGGTAAAAGCCATCATTGGAACTGGCCTTTCAGAAGATGAATTGGACAGAAACATGTTATCGAATGTTTAAAACGTAATCTAATTATTTTTGACCCTTCTCTGTACCTGTATTTTGTGTGGGTTCATTCCTTGTTTTCTTAAGTATTCGTTTCCACTCATCAAAAATGTTTTCTTAGAGTATTGTCACGAATTATACTCTGAAAGTATGTGAAAGGTTTAAGTATTATAGACGACCCAGTATTGATGCTCATTATCATGCTTTGAGTTATTGGATTTATAATAGCAAGATGGGACACAGTTCTTTACTTCAAGGAGTTCAAAACAATCCCAAGGAGCTTCAGACACAGTGTGTAGACAAGACTAACGTACCCAACAGCAAACCAGGGAGCTGACATTTATTGTGGCTTCCTATTTGCTCTCCTAATGCTTTATGCCATTTAAGGCAATATTAAATAATCCTGACAATGGAGTTGTAGATTTAGACAATATGCCATCTGGCAAGTGGCAGAGCTGGGATTCAAACTCAGTCATTGCATTTAATGTCCAGCTGCACTTCTCATAGTAAGCTACCCTGTGGCCAAAGGCGTTTTTAGAAAGGGAGAGAGAGATCAGTGAAGATTCATGGGTATTCACTGGAGGCTTCATGGAGGTAGGGAGAGGAAGGGGAGATGTGCCTTTTACTTGTGTTGGAATGAATGAATGAGAAGGGAAGGATTCCTGCCTGAAGAAAGGTGTGCAAAAGCACAGAGGTGAAAATTAGTGTATCATTCGAGAAGATGTGTTTACCTCGAGAGTTGGTTTGGGAAAACAGTAAGAAATAAAACTGGAGAAGCAATGATAACTCTTAATTTATGGCTTACTTTTCTAGTATTAACCAACCTAATCCTCACAATAGCATCGAGTTAAGGTGGTATTACAGATGAGAAAATGGAAATGTGGAGGGCTTTTAATGCCTTTCCCAAGTTCACACTTGTGTTGGAATGAGTTCGCATAGTAATTTCAGAGCCAGGATCTGAACACAGGCAGGCTGGGGCTGGAGCTATATCCCTCACTACTCAACTATATCAGAGGACATAGGCAGATGAGGAGATTGGGAAGCTAGTCTGAAGCTTAAAACTACTTCTGAGCAGGAAGAGGGAAAAAAATGCTTGAGCAGGGGAGTCCTCATGGAGGTGACATTTCTGGAAGATAAAAGTGAGAGTCAGATGTTGGAGGATCTGGGGAAAGACTCAGTGTTTCTCGGCAACGGTTGTGCGTTAGACTCACTTGGAGAGATTAAAAAGTAAACACTGGTACCCTGAGGTTCCACTCCAGAACATTTAAATCAAAATCACGTTGGGTAGCTCTGAGCATTATTCTTTAAAAAAGTTCCTTGGCTGGGTGGCACCTGTGGCTCAAAGGGGTAGGGCTCTGGCCCCCTAGGCTGGAGGTATTGGTTCAAACCCACCGGGGCCAAAAAATGCCAAAAAAAAAAAAAAGTTCCCTGGGCTCTTCTGACTTGCATGTTATTTTTTAGGGAACCAAAAATCTCCCAGGACCGTACTGAGGTAATTCAAGTTTGAGATCATGTGTTGGAACCAAGGTTTTGATAACACCACCAAATTAAATAAACTTGTTGAGATAGAATAAATCTCCCACATCTTAGTGCCTGCCCTATTTCTCTAATACCCCAGAGTAAGAGCCTCTCTCTGAAAGTTTCTTCAGTTAAGGAATGTGTTTTAGTTTAGACTGTTAGCAAATTGCCATAGATTGAGTTGTTCAAAAAATAAACGTTTATTTCTCACAGTTGTGGCATCTGGGAAGCCCAAGGTCAAGGTGCTGGCAGAGCTGGTGTCCGCTGAGGACCTGCTTTTGGGTTTGCAGATGGCTGTCATCTACTTGTAAGCTCACGTGGCACAGAACAGAAAAAAAAAAAAGCAAGCTTTTTGGTGTCTTTTTTTGTTTGTTTTTATAAGCACATTAATCCCATTCATTAGGGCTTTGCTCTTATGACCTCATCATGTCCCCAAAGTTCTTCCTCTCCAGGACCATCATAGCGTGGGGAGGGGGTGTTAGGATTTCAACATCAGAATTTGGGGATGGGGACATGCAAACTTACAGTTTGTAGAAGTTAAGTTTTCCTTTTATCATCACAAAAATCCAAACTGTCATTCAGCAACAGTCCTAGATTAGAAATATTTTTATAATGTGTTGGAATGTTCAATGTGGAAAAACATTTTTGTTTGTTCATATTACTGGGTGAATGGTGAGCATGTGGGTTCATTTAAAATTTAATTTCACATGATGTGAAACATCCATCTTGTTGATTGTAATATGACAAGTAATTATAAAATAAACTTAGAAGAAATAAAATAGGAATGGAAATATGTTTTGTAGCATTCATATTAATGAGTGTATTTTACATATTAATG